CTTGTTCTAAGTAGGTGCTTTAGACCACTGAGCCATCTCACCAGCCCCTAAGCTTGTTCTTGTTCTAAGTAGGTGTTTTAGACCACTGAGCCATCTCACCAGCCCTCATTTGTATTAATATCATGATAAATATGAATTGTTACTGTAGCTCCAACTCTAAGCCATCACCACAAGGTTAATTTGAGCCACTTCCTCTTGCTTGTCTCTACCCCCTCCTACTGAGCACTGAGAAGTCTGGCTCCCATCAGATCCTACCTGCTCCCACCTGTGTGGTGGGTAATTGCTCAGACCCAGACACAGGACCAGTGGCCTCAGGATTGTTAACTGCGCCCAACCAAGGAGCAACTTCCCAAGTAGCATGCAGTATCTTACAGACTCCACTCATTTCTAGAATTTCTAAGGTCAGTACCTTGTCTTCCCATCCCCTCAGTGAGGTTACTTCATAGTAAATACTTTCATTTACATAATAAGAACTTTACATAGTAAAGTGTTCAGTAAAGTCAGATTCTTTCATCATAGTTTGCATTTCCCCAGGCGTTAACTTTGTCAATAATTTTTTTTAAAAAATCTGCATGTATTAATTCTTTGCGCTGTTTATTACTTAATTCTGCTGTAATAAATGATCCCAAACTCAGTAGCTTAAAACAATAGACTCATCCATTCATTCCTGGCTCCCAACTTGGAATCGTCCTGCCAAAGTCGAGTAGATGGGATTACAAGCATGCACCACTGCACCCAGCCAACTATAGCTTTATTACCTAACAACTCCACAGGTTGAAGTTTCCAGTCACACTAGCCTACAATCCAGATGTCAGCAGGGCTGCACTTCCTTCTGAAGGCTCTAGGAAAAAAAATCTGCATTTGTCAGCTTCCAAGGCTGCCCACTTTCCTTGGCTTGTGCCAGCATCTCTGCACCCTTAACGCCTTAACATCTTTAGACCAACAATGTGGCACCTCTCTGACCCTTCTCCTGCCAGCACATCTCTCTGACCATTAGAACTCAGAATTCTCTGCTTCTAAGGACTCATGTGACTGGACCAGGCCCACCTGAGAACTCCAGGATGCTGTCAGCCCAACTCTGCCTATATAAGGTGACCCAGCTTCCAGCTTTGGATGAGCATTACTCTGCCCTTGTAAAGGTCTACAGGTTTTGACAAATGCACTTTTATCACATTTAGGTGTCATCAGACAGAAGAGTTTTACTACTTGTGGTAGGCGGGACACTGGTCCCTCAAAGAGCACATTTCTTAGCTCCCAAATCCCTGAATAAGTTGTGTTTCACAACAAGAGGGAACAAAGACAGCAGATGGGACTGTGGCCATCATCTGACCTTAACATTGGAATATTATGCTGGCTTATGCAGGTGGCTCCAGTATAATCATAAAGGGCTCACAGTGGGGGCCATATGAGTAAGATAGAGAGCTATGACCGAACACACTCAAAGTGACACAAGGGCCCAGCCTGCCACTGCTCACATGGACCAAAACAAAGAGCATGGGTAGCCTGTAGACTCTGGAAAGGGCAACAAAATGAATTTTCCCCCACAGCTCAGCTACACTCATTCTAATCAGAAGACTAATTCAATAATTAAGATTAGAACATTAACCAGAAACAAGGTTAACATAAAAATAGTCAAGATATCACTGGAGGTCTAGTTGGTCAAGAGTGAGACCCAAAGTTCAATTCCCAGCACCAAATATAATTCATCAATTAAAAGGTAAGGCACAGCGTTATAAGGTATAAACATTTGACTTTCTCCAAAGGACTTCAGGCAATCAAGTTGTAACTATCCCACATATTTCTGGTCAGTTGATTTTCAAAAATGCCAAAACAATTCAAAGGGGAAAAAGAATTCAACAAATGTTGTTAAGACAAGTGGATATCTATATGCTTAGAAACAGACATCCAAGAACAGACCCTTCTTTCACACAGTATAGAAAACTTAATTTAAAATAGACCAAGTTGTGCTATGTACTGGTACAAATTCCCTATGATGAACGTGATCGTCATGTATACCAGAAAATATACCAATAAGCACTACTAATGAAAAGTAAGCAGTAATTTACACTGAAAAAAACAAAATATACTAAAGACTTCAATGTAAAAGCTAAACTTATAAAACTCCTGGAGAAAATATACAGTGGCATATTGGTTCACGAACTTAATTCTTCCCATTATTCTCATTGCAGAATTTGTAGGGCCGGGGAGATGGCTCAGTAGAATAAGCGCTTCCCTGGCAAGCGCAAGGGCCTGAGTTCAATCCCCGGTTCCGAAAAGGAGAAAAAAAAAAAAAGAATTTGTTCCACAATTTTAGTTGCAACCAAACAAAGAATCATGGAGAGCATTTGTGAACCAAGATACCACTGTTCAGTTTAAATCTTTATGACCTTAGATTAGGCAATGGTTTCTTAGGACCAAAAACACAAGCAAATAAGAAAACACAGCCAGGTATGGTGGTAGCTGCCTGCAATTCCAGCTACTTGGAAGACCAAGGCAGGAACGCTGCGAATCTGAGGCCAGACTCAGCAATTTAGTGAGATACTTCTTTAAAAAATCTCAGGAGGCAGCTCTTGCCTACCACACACACAGCTTCAGTTTTCTCCAGTACTGAACAAACGAAGGGAAGAATGAGGGGAGAAACAGGTAAGGAAGGAAGGAAGAAGGAAAGGAAAAGAAACAGAAAGGAAAACATAGAGGAAAAATAAATTAAGCAAAAATAAAAGCTGGAGAACTTCAAAGAATACTGTTAAAATTAAAGGACAGGGCTGGTGAGATGGCTCAGTGGTCTAAAGCACCTACTTAGAACAAGTTGAGCAAAGTACAGGGACTGCGGTTCAATCCCCAGCACCACATGCCAGCCAGCCCCGCCCCCTGGTGGGCTGAGCTGGCCACAAACAAATTAAAAAAAAAAAAATTAAAGGACAATCTATAAAAGAAAATATAGACAAAGCACACATCTGGTAAATGTCTAGGACCTAGAGTACATATATTTACAACTCAATAAAAAAGACACCTTCTACCAGACAGCTATACTCCCAAAGATGAGTAACCAGTTCTGGTGAGGCTGTGGGGAAATAGGAACCCTCTTGAACCACTGGCACAGCTGCCCTGGAATGGAGCCCGGCAGGCCCTCCAATGGTTAAATAGAGTCACCAGATTCTGCAACCCCACTGCTAGATAGACATCCAGAGAATTACAAACACGTCCACATAGGTCATGTACAGAAAGTTATGGCAGTACAATTTCTAACAGCTAAAATGTTCACACCCAGCAAAAACAGTACCAGATTCACCCATAAAAATGAGGACACAAGTGACAACACAGATGAACCTAGAAAACATGTTCAGTGCAAACAGTCAGACAAAACTTTTTTTTCCTCTCTCTCTGTATTTAGGGCAGGGTCTACAGGGTGTTCAGGGTCTCACTACGTAGATCCGACTGGTAGTGACTCCCGTTTACAGCCTCCCAAGTGCTGGGATTACAGGCGCACATCATCACGCCCAGTCTCAATCACTGTCTCAGCGTGCCCCAGGGGTGGGGCCAGCACGGCACGCTGGGGATCAAACCTAGGCCGCTGCACTCTGCCTAACAGGCGCTTTAGTCTGATCTCTTACTATATAAACCCATGTATATGACATACATAGAATAGGTAAAATCATAGATAAAACTTAGACTAGAGGTTGCCAGGAAAGGACAAAGGGCATGAACTAGAGGTGCTGACTGCACAGCCCTGGTGATGTATTAAATGCTACTGAATTGTACACTTTACAATAGCTGAAGCCAGACATAGTGGCACATGCTCACAAGCCCAGCATTTTGGAGGACTAAAGCAGGATGATCACAAATTATTATTATTACTATTATTATTATTATATTTAGTACAGGGTCTATAGGGTCTCATAATACAAATCAGACTCATAGTGATTCTCCTGTTTTCAGCCTCCCAACTGCTAGGATTACAGGTGTGCCCACCATGCCCCGTCTTAGTCGCTGTCTCAGCACCCCCTGGTGCCGAGCATGGAACCCCGGTCTCTGGGTCTGCCTAAGCAGGTGCTTTAATCTGCTGAGCTACCTGACCAGCCCTGAAGATCACAAATTTGAACCAAGCGTGAGCAATTTAAGGAGCTCTGTCTA